ATGATTTTAGCTGATAGACTCTACTGCAGATACATAACCTAAAGAAGTAACATATTTCTGGCAATACATGATAAAAGAAGCACTTGGCAAAGGTCAGCTTTTCAGATGTCTTGTGGAAATCTCATTAAGCACAGTCTTCTGATAGGTCTTCTTCTTCTGCCTCAGTGCCTGTACCAATTGTCCTGAATTTCTGATTGAAGTTTGGCATCTCAGTGACTTTTTTAACAAGTTATAAGGTTCCAGTATAATTAAAATAACCTCAAAGTCAAATTTAACAGGTGAGAATTTTGATAAAACTCTTTGAATTAACTCTAGTGTATGAAAGTAAAACAATCTCTAAATTATCAATCCTTCTTAAAGTAGCTAAGGCTGTTAAGATTTGAGTGAATGTCAGGCAAATTTCTAAATATTTGAACAAAAAAGCCCCGCTGAAGCAATTATTCTATATTAATGGGAACTATGCCAAAATGAAACTCTAGTGCAAGCAGGGCCTATCTTCTTTTCAGTTTTCCATTTTAAATCTGAACTTTCCCTTCATTTCAGCTTTCCTCTTTAAATGTTTTTCTGCTGTGATGACTTTTCGTTAAGCTGCTGTTAAAAGTCTAGGTTGGTGCATATGTTAAAAGAGTGCAGGTACAGAAATCAGAAATAGAAGTAGATGATCCAAAAGTTGTGATGAGCTCTAGTTCAGCACTGGGACAAAACTTACCACTATCAGCATTGTTGCTGCCTACAAACTCCAGAAATTGTTTAAGCTGAGCCACTAAAATAAAGAAACATTAATATTTATGTGGTGATGTTTTGTTTGACCATCAAACCAGTTTGCAGCTGACAGACTGCTATAAAATAAAAAGATGGACAGCAACTAAAAAAGAATAAAATTAAGCTGTGTATTAGATATGAATCAGTTACAGAGTGAGATGACAAGCTTATTCTCTGTCCTGCTGGAGGTGCTTCTATAGGGAAGCAGAGTACTCCATGACCCTGAGGTTGCTTTCAGAGCACATTTGCTTTCCTTACATGCACAGCAATAGGTGAGCTTAAGGGCTGACTCCTAAAATCTGCATTACATTATCCTTTAGGAAGGAGTAAGTTACAGAGAGTCTTCATTCATGTTTTAGAAAAATCTGTGTGCCTATTTTCTGATCTTGTACTTGTTCAGGATGCTTGATCCCAGATCCCAGCATTACAGAGATCCCTGCAACCTCTGCTGCATTGCAAAGGACTTGGATTGAGGTGGCTGCCAAGAGGCTGAGCAGTAAGAAACATCAAAGAGCTAAGGCTGAGTTCTGTGGGGCACTGCAGGGGTTAAACTTGCTGGCATCCTCTCTGGTCATGTACAGGAGCTCTTGCCCTCTTCAAAAAACTTCAGTCACTTTTGTTGTACTGAACTGAGAAGGAAAGCCCTGCAAATTTGAAATGTAAAAGTAATCTCCATGAGACATTCAGCTGTCTCAACTATATTTGGGACAGCTGAATGTCTGATGAGTGCCCCAGTGGAGGCATCACTCCACTGGGAATGTGCATTCCTGTGGAGCATCCTCAGGCTAAATCACAGAGAGTATCTCCTGAGACACCAAAGAAAAAAATTATGGAGTCCATTCAAAGGTAAGTAGATGGTAAATGTTTACATGGATTACAAAAGATGAAGTAGCCTACCAGATATTGGAAGATGCAAGTACTTAATCCATGGGAGAAAAAAAAAATACAAGGATATTTTGTGCTTCTGAAAAACTGCTGTCTGTGTATTCCAAGTATGGAGATTTCACAAGCCAACTGCTGTCCACTGACCCAGCTTCAGTCTAAGCCTTATTGAGGGGTATGAGATATAGGAACAGTCTACCAATATGCTGGTAATTTAAATGGTAGATGCTGATAAGTATCTTTTTCCTTCCTGCCTGAGCTTTACTCAAATTCTTCCATTAAAATATATAATTGAGTACCTAGACAGTTGCATTTTGATTTGCATCTCTTGCCAACCCAATATATCTTTCAGATAAGCCTTTCATGCATTGCTTTTAATAATAATGTCTTAAATTAAAAGGCTGCTTCCATCAGCAAAATGAAGCAAGATAGCCAAGAAAATACCTATGTGCCTGAGAAATTCATTAGAGTAAGGAAAAAAAAATCCATGAAAAAGGGATGATAATGAGAAAAATATTGAGCCTCAAAGATGACAATACTGAAAGGAGAGACTGCATTTAGGGCTTACTTACTGCATGGGAGAGGCTGTTTTCGCTTTCCAGAGAGCTTGCCTTTTTTTGTTTTTGTTTCTGTTTTTTTTTTTTTTTTTNTTTTTTTTTTTTTTTTTTTTTTTTTTAATTCTGACAAAACACATAAAGTTTTGGCAACTTAGTTACTTTTAAACTGCCATAGGCATATGGGAGTTTACTAGCACAAAACCTGTGCCTGATAGTGATATCAGGGATAATCCTTTATGCTACTTATGTAAGTGTTAGTTTTAATGATTTTCCTTCTTCCAACACTGAGAAACCTACAACTTATTAATGGCAAAAACCATTAATAAGAGCTGCTCAAAGAAGGCAATTTATTGTAATCAAGATATGCTTTCTAATTACCCTCCTGGTCTCTATTTATGTTGCAGATTGTGCTACTTATATTTATCTTAGAAATATGTTATCCTTATAAAATCCTTTTTTAAAAAGAAATATTTGAAAAGGTGCTGCAAAATATTATAGAGTATAAGGAACTTGCATAGCGACCACTAATGAGGCACGTGCTTGCCTTTGAATTGCATTCCCTCTTCCTCTCCCTCCCATCTTTATTTCTCATCTTCAGCCAGCCAAGGCAGCATTGAAGAAGAAAACCAGTTCCCATCTGACTCCTCTCTGCCTGTCTGCTGAGGAGTGCTGGTGCTCCTGGCAGGCTGTGGGCACTCGGGGACACACAGAGGGTTTGCCGGAGGAGCTGACACACATCCAGCCTCAGACGGGTGTTGTAAACCTGCTCTCTGCTTGCCGTGACTATGCAAAGACAAAAGGCTCTGCCTGGGACAGAACAACCCTTCGCTGCTGGAGCACAGATGGTATGAAAGTGCTTTGTGTGACACAAGGTGTTAGAAAATGCTTGGCTCACTAACATGTGCTGTCAAGACCTGTTTTCTCCAAGCTGCCAGCCTGTCATTGTCTTTTGGAAACAAGCATGCAGCCAGGAAAACCATTTCCATCAGAAACAGAAGCCCTGTTTATACTTCACTTTCATTTTCTCCTACCAGGTAATTTCTCTTTCTAATGTCACCACAGGTATTATAGTAGAATTAAGGAACAGCCAAAATTTCTCTTTCATTGCATAAACACCCGTAACTAGAAGAGAGAAAATAGGTTTTAAAAATGACAAGAGTAAAGAAAAGAGAAGCTTTCAAACCAAGCATTCCCCACACCTGAATTTGCTGAACTTCCCAGATACAGAATAAAAATCTTCCTCTTCTCTATGAAGTGTACAGATGGCAGCTGGAGGAAATCCTGGCCCAGGTAAAATCCAGTTTAGAAGTAGGAAATAATACAAGTCTGGGAACTTTGTCTTTTTGTGTACATTCTTCTTGGAAGCAGCAAAGGCTTATGAGGGCTGAAACTGGCCCTATTCTGATCTAGTTTTGACTAAAAACTGTATGTTTCATTAACTACCATGAACCAACTGGATGACTTTAATCTATTTTACAGCTACCCAGTGATATTTTTATTTTTTTTCTATTACAAATGCAGAAACTTTGTCTTTGCCTCTTATTGCCAGACTTTTAAAGTGCAATTTGCTGTATCTTTCAGAGCGTGGACACAATCCTGAGATGATGGGGTCAGAGCTTATGTAGATATAGATGAGGGTAAGGAGAACTGAACATGGGAACACATCAGCCTTAAAGGGCTTTTTCTTTCTCTAGCAAAAAAAACCACCACAAAACAATGTGATTAAATACCTTAGAAAGTCTCTGACTGTCAAACAGTGGCACATGACTATTCTGTCTCAACATGTGGAATTTTCATGTTCATTTATGAACAATCATATTTCATGTTCATTTTCTCAGGCAATTAAATGATTGCTGAAGATTTACTTTGTTTCTTTTTGCTTTATTATTCACATGTCTCCGTGTTAAATTACAATTTTTTCTCCCGATACTGCGGCAGGAAGTTTTATCCTTCTGTTTTTAAAGATTTTTGTATTCAAACCAATTGTCCTTTCTGAAATGCTATCAATGTTAAGTGGTTGTATTTGAATGACTATATAGGAAACAAGGATTTCATCTTTGTTGTTAAAAATCTACAATTAGGCTATGGAAAAAGTCACTTGGTAAAACAGCAGAAGGCAAAACCATAAATAAAATCATTCATTTTGCTAATGCAAAAATTGAGAAAAGTCTTCTCACAAAATATCATGTGCTACTGGGCTTTCCATCTTCAAAATGTCTTGCAAAGGTTAAGTCTTTAAAATATATCTGTGCAATGAAGCATTATATTGGCACCATTGTTTCTTTCCCCTCAGTTAAAGTAGCTGTTGAGTGTTTAAATGTCCAAGGCTGTGGAGAAGGTCGCTCAGATCTAGGACTGCAGACTATGCTTCTTCTGTGGTGCCTGAATTTCTCAGACTGGGCTGGACATTCTTCATTTATTCAGTCATCCTTCTGTCAGCCACTGCTCTCCTTTTCTAAACTGATTGTCCTCTTTGACATCTTTTCCTGGCTGCTCTGCAGCTTTCCACTGCACTGAGTGCACTCAGATTACCCCATGAAGCCTTTAATAGCCCCAGAGGTCAACCCTCACTTGGCTGCATTTCCCTGCTCCCACTTGAGACTTTTTGCAGTGCAGACTTTTCTCCTCCTGTATTACTTTAAGGAAAGGTCAGTCTGGCAGAGGTCAGCAAAACTCTGTATTCAACCTGCTTTGCAGAATCCCTATGGAAGACCCAACCAAATTAATTTGATCTCTAAAGCAGGTACATCACATACACGTGTATGAAGTCTCTGTGTGTGAGGGTAGAAAGCAACTCACCATCTCCTGTGTCAGGAATCAGCTTAGAAAAGCTGCCTTTGGGAGTAGGACTGGTAGTAGGAATTCAATCAGCCTTAGCAACACTGGATACTGCCAAAAACCTGCAAAAGAACATAATATAGGCTCTGTAAATGACAATGAATGATGTCTGCTTCAGAGGAAGAAAAAGATTTTTCAGAAAGGCCTAAACTGTACTCTTCAGGATCTCTTCAAATAACTGGGAATGATTGTTTAAAAGCTTAGAGACCAGTGCTAGGAGCTCCCCACACTCAGAGTTCACATAAGAGCATAGCTGGTGATGACAGAAATACTTTGGAATGAGCTAATGACCAGAAAGGGCCTTGCAGGATTGGGCACACCAGAAATCGACTCCACTTGAAGAACTCAAGAAATCGAAAAGCCTGACTTGTACTTTCCTGAAGATAAATGACCAGTTAAAGGAAAGGGGGAAGGAAGCCTGAGCTGTTTGGCCAAACCAGCAGTTTTAGTGTGTCTCAAGCTTTTAGCACCGAGTGCATCTGTCAGGTGCTAATTGTCAACTCCCACTGGCTGCAGCAGGAGCCCGGGGCACTTGGCATTGTGCATTATTAACCTGCTGTGATTTAGCTAAAGAGATAGACATGCCAGAGTATGTGATGTTTGAACTGCAAGGCATTGTTTCTTGCATTCTCCCAACTTTAAGATCTCTTTTTTTTTTTTTTCCCAGTTAGCAGTGTCTCACAGCAAGCAACTGCCTAAAGAGGAAACATAATGCAAAAGAATATGCACTGTGAAAAGTCTGCACTGTGAAGTGCAGAAATATATCATTCTACCAAGAGTAGGCTGATTTAATTTAAAATATAAAATCTTTAAATAGCTAATGTGCTTAAAATGTAGAAAATCAGATAACAAAAGCAGTTCTTGTTTCAAAGGAGAATAGCAGCCAGAGAGAAAAATGAACAAAGAGAAGACAAAGTGACAAAAGAAATAAGGAAATGTCATTGATTTCCTGGGAAAAAAAAAGGATAAAACCTAATAATTTTTCACACATTATCAAATAACATGGTAATTTATCCAGAATATAATTATGCTAACTTTTGGCTGTTAGTTGGTATCAGATGAGTTCTTTCAGCTCAGAGTGTTCTTGGGGCAGGTTTTGAGGATGGTTACAGACATGTTTGTTGGCATTATGGCTAATTTCCCTGGAGGTGTTCAAGAAAAGACTGGATGTGGCACTTAGTGCTGTGGTTTAGTTGAAAAGGTGGTGTTTGGTCAAGGGTTGTATTTGATGATCTTGGAGTTCTTTTCCAGCCTTGCTGATTCTATTGCTCTGTGGGCTAGGCTAGGATACTAGGTCATGTGGGTTCTTGAGGTTGTCAGGGCAACTTTGGGGAGTTCTGGTTTCATTATTGCTAATGGAGGGGTGAGAGCACCCAGCAAATTATGAGTTACAACATCAGTGCTGTCTGTTTTGCAAAAACTTGGAAAAGTAAAAGCTTTTATACTTTTGTACCCATGCCACCAGTAGACATAAGACATTTTTCAAAAATTAAGTCTCCTTTGTACAGAACATTAACCTTCAAAATGTAACTTGTTGGCAGTAATAATAGAATTTAAAAAGTAAAATGAGTGCCTGTGCTCTGTTTTTCCCACTCTACTTTGTAATTCAGATTTCTCTCTATAGGCAAGGACAGAAGGCAGAGGGGCCAGCATGACCTGCTGTGGGAAAATGCAGCACTCAGAACATAATGACCTACTTGGCTGTATCTCATTGAGCATCCACCAGATGACCATCAGTAACTGACTGAGGTAGACGCAGCATGGCCCTTTTCTCTGTTTTTGTTTGGAAGTTGTTGCAACCATTGCCTCCATCCTTTTCTCTTACCACACTCCTTCAGATGTAGGAAAACTCTGCTCTGAATGAGACTGCAGGAGTGCACAAGAGCTGGGATAATTTTAGGGTTATCTTAAAATGCTAAGAAGGTTTTCCATCTTAAGGGGTGGATGAAGAGGAAGCTGGCTTTAGTTCTTGTTTGAGATCTTGCACCTTTATTCCCAGGTAAGAAATTTTATGTATCAGAACATCTAGTCAGCACCTAAACACCTCAGAGATTTATTTGGCTTTTTTTAACAAATAAGAAGTCTCTGTTTCTTCACAAGCACAAAGTCTTTTTCATGCATTACCCCTGCAGCCTGTCCTTTTCACTTTCTCTTCTTTTTCAGCTCCTACATCTTCACATTTTCATCTTCATCTCGACACAGCTCTTTGTAGTCAGGCCATCTCCAATTGCATTCCCTATTTCTCTCCTTGTCCTCTAATACAAAAAGGAGTATTTCTGACATGCATGTGGTTACACAGTCAAGAATTTAATTGTTGGCACTGCCATCCAATAACTTCATTCTTGTCTGAATGGGAAAAGTGACCTCTGAAGGGGATCTGGAGGCCCCCTGGCTGCTTATATTACTATTTGCTCCCTGTTATCTTGTTTGGAGTGCTGCCAGCCACTCCTGTGCAGGGAGATTTGCAAGCTGCCTACAAGCTCTTGGGAAGACCTTGTCTGAATGGGAAGGATGTGGGAGTCCTTGTTGATGATACAGCTGCATGGATGGAGCTGTTTTACCTCTTCATTTATCATTATCATTATAATTTCATTATCATTACCTTATCATTTTCAGCTTAATTAAAATGTAAGTACCCTGGACCTAGAGGATGAGCACAAGAACTGAATAGACATCTCCAAGATGAATTTTACATAGCTGGAAAGCAATGTTCATATGGATTTATGCTTTCTTTTATGCATCAGAAAAAACTCAGGTAATGCTCAATGATTTAAGTGAGGCTGGGTTTAGAGTAGTGCTAAATGCAGCCGAAGACAGAGAAGACATTACAAAACTGCAGAAATAAGGATTTTTGGAACTATCAATAGGTAATTTACAATTAGAGTAATTTTTGTTATGGTAGAACATCCCCACATAAGCAGAAAAAAAGGGGACTTACCCCAAGTCCTATGAACTCTCTCTTTTGTTTAATAAACAGAAGCTAAGCTTTTAAAGGATTTGCAGTTGTTTTGTACATATGTGGACTTAATATTTCTGAACAAAACTCAAACTTCTTTTTACCCAATATAAAATAATTTCACATCTGCTCAAAATCCCAGCAGTCTCAGTTTTTATGTGGCAGCAACTTCCTCTAGGAAGATAGTCCAGCAGAAGAAATTCTGGACCTGCTTCCATCTCTGAAACACATTTATTGTTTCCATTGCTTCTCAAGCCTCAGGGTACTCCTACTTCAAGTCTGAATATTTGTTATGCAGGTTGAAGTCTGCCAGTGATGAAAACCCAGAACTATCAATTCCTGCCCTCCTTTCTTAGCAAAGATATTGATATTATGAGGGCTTTGGTCTTGTGAAACACAACGGGAAAAATCTTGGGAAATGTGTGAAAGGAAAGCTTTTTTGAGGTTAAAAATAGCATCTGCAATAATTCCATGAGAAGAATAAAAGTGACTTTCTTACTGTGTGGAGGATTCTAAGTAAGACTTTAAATTGTACCTTTTTCTAGGATAATTATGGAAGAAAAACAGCTTTCCATGAATCCAACTGCTGTTTTAAAGGCTCAGCTAGCAGCATCATTTCCTATCATGCAGAAGATCTAAGTTCAAGATCACACACAAGTTTTTGTCTTTTCAAAAGGCAGCAGGAAGTGAAGGTGGCATAAAGAAAATTACAATCTTACTGCAAAGGCAAACAGAAATCTCTCTGTGATTATGAGCTGAGTTTGTGTTTCCTGTACAAAAGTAGCAAGGAGTTAGAAGCAGATAATACTCCCTAGAATGGCTTGACATCCATAGCTGGATGAGAATTCTCTTTTTCTTTAAATTTACAGTGGCTGCATCTGATGTTCCAGAAAAAGATGGATCAGTACAGCCCTATAAATCCCAAACACATATGTAGTATATCTTTTCAGAAATAACTTACAAACCAGCCTTCCAGAGGAGAAGAAGTCTGCAATAATGACAGCACACTGTCAGTGCAATAAAGAGGAATTCATTATTCAGACTGCAGGGGTTGACAATGGCCAGAGGGCAAATGCATAAAATAAGAAGAAAGAGTCAATGCTCAAATGTCAAAAACTCCCTGCCACAAGCGGAAAAAAAGAGAAATATGTTCAAAATGTATTTCCTCTGTATAGGAATGATGGTGATGATGATAATAATAACATTTATTTGAGTATGATAAATATACATTATTTGAGGGTGAAGCATTATATGACATCATCTGTGTATAAAAAAAAAGATCCCTTTCCAGTGTTCATTGTCATAAAATTAAAAGAAACCTTTGCAATCTAGAAAGTGGCAGCAAAACAAAGAGTTAAATATGTAGGATAGTTGGTTTTGTGAATAATCCTTGTTGACAGTTTTTAAGCTACTGATCCATTCTAGAAACAAATCTGATTGTTATCATTATTCCTTTTATTACCTAAAGAGGATAATAGCTACTCACAAGTGCAACTACTTCAGTATAAAATTTTGCAGGCATAAATTGCACCCTCAAACAAGATCTCAATCCCACAAAGGAACAAAAGCCCAGTTGTTTTTTCTGGAGTTATTTAGTTTTAAACAAACTACCTTGTAGTCTGATTTTTTTTTTTTTTTAGTTCCTCCTTCCTTGCTATTGAATGCTTTTGTAAGAAGGCAGGATTCTTGTTCTGTATTTTTCTTCTCCTGACATTTCCCATATGAAGTTACAATCCTCTGATGGCTTGTATGAAGAGGATTAGAAACATGTCATCACTAATTGCAGATGAGGATTCAAAGAAGGGCTGGGCAGGAGATGCACAAAGATGAGATTGCCTGGCCTGTCTTGATTAGGCTGTGGATGCTTTGTGCCTGCCTCTGCTGCTCCAGGAACTTAGCCTGCCTCCCACATCTGTCCTCACCTTATGGCAAGGGAAAATTGTTGGTTGTTGAACAGGATGAAAGACTGATTTCTTTACTGTTCCTAAAGACCCATTTCTGCCATGAGGACTACATAAACTTAGTTGGCTCATAATGCACAAGGGAGTGTGAAGTTGCAAAGAGGAATCACTTTTAACTCAAAAAAAAAAAAAAAGACCAAAAAAACCGAGATTACACTTGTGGGATTGTTTCTTTCTCCTCAACAGAGTTTTTGGTGTTTGTATTAAACTGTAAACTGAATCACTGTATCCTCACATACACCACACAAGTGTGGAAGTAGCAGTGGCTAAGCAAGCCCTCACCATCTGTGAGCATTCCCACTTCTTAATGTCAAACTGTTACCAGTTTGGCTAATAAGGTTAAGGAATTACATAATTGAAGTGGAATTACAACAGAATTATGTCAATGTGTGTTCCCCTCTCTTTTGCTTCAGGATGAATCAATTATGAAACATAAATCCAAGTACTGGATACAATATTTATAACCATTTAGGCTCCCAGGCATTGATTAACCATGACTGAGGGAACTTTTTCTCATGGAAATGAATGTTGTATCATAAAGAGCCTGTAAATTCCCATCTAGGGCTGTGAACTGCTTGGAAAGACATTTTACTCTAGCCCTAGCATTCTTTGAAAGGTTGAAGTCTGAGGAGATAGGACACAATAAGTAAGGCCAAAAAGTCAGATTTGCTTTATGCTCTTCTGTATGGATCATTCCTCAGTGAGTCACGTAAGTAGAGGAAATTTCATGAAAATGCCCCTTTGTCTACTTTAAAAAACAATCCCTCAAGCCTTGCAACAAGGTCAGAAGTGACTCAAGAGTTCCAAAAAGTGGCAAACCTGAGCCAGAGTGATATGAATTCTCTTCAGACTTCTAATGGAAACCACAGAGTTTTGTCACAATTTTCAGGACTTGTCTGTCAAACCTTGACAGATCAGGAAACTGAAAAGGATGATTTCTGGATTAAGACTGAAAATAAAACCTAAACTCTACTTTCAAGGAGAAAGTATGTTTATTTTAATTAATGAAGAAATATGCAGTAAAACTACCTCCTTCTCTGCCAACAAAGTTATAATCACAGTTCCACATCTCTGTCTCTCCCATGACAAATTTTGGGCTCTCATTTTGGTGAGAAAAATGTCTTTTTCAAAGTAATTTGAAGAACAATCTGTGACTTACTTAGGAAATAGTGAAATGCCTCAGATTCAGAATTAAAGGCAAATAAAATTTTTAGCTGTATTAATAGACTTGTTGATGTAACCTGCTGGTTCTTGGTCATCTAAGTTTATGGTGTACACCAGTATCTTTCTGCAAAAGCTCTGTTGCTAAAATGAGTTAATTTTCTTGTCATTTAATCACTCAATCAGAGCACTTCTAGTGAAGAAAGACAGGGATTAACAGACAGAGGACTAAGTATGGGATTAAATAATGTGTATGTTGTTTCTGGACTGGTATAACAGACAAATGTCTGACGTATCAAAAGGTCATGTCTCTAGAGCAGGCAGCCCTTCAGTCCTGTGTAACATTCTTCTAGCAAAGTTATCATATGGCTCAAACTTTCCTGAAATAGTCATTCTCTTTTAAAATATAGCTACTGGTGATACAAGATTTAAGCAAGACAAAGTTCTTGGAAAATGAAAGGGAATCTTGCCATAAGTTTTATCAGTGGCTTGGCAACCCTTTGGAGACAAACAACTTTGGTGTTGGTTCATCTTTACTCTCAGAGTTTGGGGTTCTGGACACCATGCTGGCTTACAGAAACACATTAAGTCTATTTACCATGCTGGCTTACAGAAATATGTTAAGGCTTTTTAACTCCTTTCTTCCTGATGCAGGTGCTGCTGTTGGAAGAGTTTTTGGGGAAGAGTTCCAGTTGTGAAACACAGAAATGGTGATGGATACAGCAGGGGGCCACTAAAGGTACTTGATTATGTTTTTCTTCCAGAGAAGGCCTGTAGAGCTAGCATAAATGTTTATATTATCCTTCACTGCTGCTTTCAATTAAATTCAATTTAAGAATTTCAACTTCTACACAATATTTTCAAAACTGGCTGGTGTTTGTGAGGCCCTGATGAATGCAGCTCCAAAGGATGCTGCTGCCAGAGGTACCTTTTGAAACAGATGTGTTTAATGGTGATTTACAGTCAAAGAATTGCTCTTCATTCTGCTAAATTACATTTTGTTTCAGCACTCCAATCTTTAAGCCATATCCAAAATCTGGATCTGTTTAGGAAAATTCACTGCAGCCTGGCTGAGCTTACATCTCAAGCACATAATTTTAATATGTAGTTATAAATCACTTCTAACTTTCTGCACGTAGAGTGTTTTCTGTTGATGTATTTGAGAACACTGTAGAGAGGTTTGTAATTAAATGAGGAAAAATAGGACTTCTTTTATGAAGAAATCAATTTTTAATGCCATAGAAATACGAGAATTTTGAAAATGCTGTGCACTCTTTATTTTGGCTTTGTACCTGAAAGTTGCTCAAAAGTAATTGCATTTCTATTTAAAAGACAGTGGAGGCAGAAATAGCCAGTTTTGTTTTACATTTGGGATAAAAACTTTATCAACTAAAGAGACCACAGATTTAGGTAAAGATGTTTAGATTTATCTAAAATATTTTCAGGGAAAAGCTCTCCAAAATCTTTTGCTGAATTGTGTACTAAATTGCATCTGTCTATTCATTAAAAGTGTCTACACGTCACAGTAGGGTTTAGTTTAAAAATGATGTGCTAGGGCTCGAAAATCACACAGTTCAGTTTCTAGTACCAAATGTAGAAAATGCCCTTCTCTTCCTTGTCCTTTTCCAGCCCAGGGTGGCCAGTTTAGTGTTCTGCCTGTTTTTGATTAAAGGTGAGGTACCACTATGATCCAGCATGGTAATTACTGTATTCCAGTGTAAGTCACAGACCATTGCTGCTATTATTTACTCTGAGACAAAAACATTCATTCAGTCCTCTCCAGCTACAGGCTGCAAATTCTTAATGGCTTGACTTTTGCTGTGAGTGAAACAACTTTATTTTTCATTTGCTCCACTTGCTGAGATAGCTGCACTATCTGTTGTCCATTCTCTGCTGAAAGATTTGAAATTTGCCAGCGCTCCCTTTCACTATGGATCAGAAGCTAGATAAGTTTTCAATGTTAAGGATGGTCACTTGCACCTCATCCAGTTTCTCCAGGCTTAACTAAATGTGAACATTTGTCAGATCACTTTCTCTTACAGAAATTTTCTTTTTTCCTTTGTAGACTTGGTGGTGATATCTGTGCACACTTGAACCTATATCAGCAAATTCCAAGAAAAAATGGATGATAGAATATGGAATTTATTAACTATATTTCTTTGTGAAAAAGGTTTACTAGGTTTACTTCATTTTGTTCAAAACCAGAAGCTAATATGGGAGGAGAAGTCTTCACATAAACAAAAACCCCAAAATAGTCTCCAGCCCCACAATTTTTTCTCCTAGAACTGTTTAATGTGGGAAAAACCTGAGTGCACAAAGCCACTCCATCGTGAGCTAGTGAGTCACTGCCTTCAATCTGCACCTCTTTGGTTCAGGCTGACATATTTGCAGCTAAACTTTTTAGGCTTGCCAGTTCTCTGGGGAAGATGTAGATTACAGAAAAGTTGGGAATTTTCAAGATACAGCTCATCAATTCACCATGCATAGCACTTCTGAGAAACCGAGCATCTAACAATAGGGAAAGGCAAGAGAGAGGAGGAGATATGGATCTGAGTGCAAGACCTGCAGAAGTGATTTCAGCTTGTTAGAAACTTTTAGGACCTAAAACATCTTAGTATTTAAGTACCTGCCTTGAAGAAGCTGTAAGTAGCAACAATGGATGAAAGTGCTTTTTTGAAGAAGTGAGTAAATCTGTTCCTTTCTTAATGGAAAAATCCACACAATCTGTCAAGAAGTGGTAGATGTTCTTTAAAGCAGACAAATACCAATGGCAGGACATTTCCTGCCTGTCCTACTGATGAATAGGACATTCGGTAGAATCCTAGAATGGCTGGGATTCCTCAAAGATCATCGGAGTTCCAACTTCCCTGCCAGGGGGAAGGACAGAGAGTAAGCAAGGAGAGGTTAGAGAAGGACAAGAGGCTGGAATGAGGTGTGCAGTGGAGGGGATGAAGGTAGGCAAAGCTACTGTAACTAATCATACTTGAAACTGGTTCTTTCACTCAGTTCCAGCAAACAGAAAACAAATTTTTCATTGTCCTCAGCACCTTTTAACATTGCAAAGGATAAGAATGTACAGGTAGAAGAAAGATCAGTCTTCAAAATATGAAGGTTTTAAAATTGAAAAGATGCTATTGATTTTAAGTGCGCAGTGTTCATGCAGAAGATTAGATAATCAGTTTTATATTGAAAATATTGAAGTGCACACAGACCATTTCTTGGGGAGTAATCTAGAATATTTTCTTTTATATTCTTATGAAATTAATTCTTTATATTGTGCTTGCTCCACCATAAATTTTCCACTATTGTTTATGGGCAGTTCAAGAATCTGAAACCAAGATTTGCTGCTGCAAAAATTCAGATAAAACCTGTGAAGTAAAGGAAAAAATGTGTAGAACATCTCAGAGTTTCATATTCAGATTCCTTCAGAGAAAACACATCTTTAAGAAAGCTGGATGTATAGTGAAAAGGCAGATAAGTGTTTCATCTCATTATTTTCCTGTCCTAAACCTCAGGCTCATATCCTCCCCCCTTGGCTTCTGAAGACAGAACTGCTTACTTTTCAATCATGAGTAATTCTTCCCTTTCCTAAAAAACCCTTCTCCCACCTCTTAAAATAGTTTGCAATGTTGGAGCAAGGTACAACCTGAGCCAGAAATGGTGAGGTCCAACCAAATTTCTCATTATCCTGACTGTAGACTGTTAAAGCAGAGCTGCAAGCTCAGCTAGCCGGGAGGAAAATAGTCTTAAAATATCAAATCCTCTAAGTGAGGAGATTGAAACAGGAAAGATTGCAGGGTTTTTAGACAGACCCTGTTGTTTGAAGCCTCTCTTAGCCAATGTGGCACTTGTCAAGACTGGAACACCTGGCTGTGTATTTCCAGAGATGTGCAAGTTGATAGTCTTGCTGTATCTCACCTCATGTGATGCAAAGGAGGGCTGGCACTTGCCCCAGGGTGGCTTCTGTGGAGATTGTGACTGCCTCAAAACTGGCAACTGCTGCCATCTCCATCTCTGGCAGCATTTGATCTGCTTGTGGGGACTGGAACACAAAGTTGGCTTGGAAAAATGCACCCATGGCTGGTCTTCTTTGCCTGGGAAGGAGTGACTTAAGCCAAGATTCTGTTCTGCCCTACTCAGCTTGTTCTCAAGCTACTTTGCAAGGCAAGAGACACAGGAAAGAGGGCATAGCAATGGAACAGTGCTGGGCAAGAAAGGGGGATTTTGCTAGCCCTCAGCTTAACCATAACCTTCAGGGACTGGAGGATTCCACAGAAGAAGAGTTTGGATGAGCAATGCTGGAGATAAGGCAAATGGCTCATAACTAGCCATGGCCTGCATGGATGTGGTTAATGCTGGCATTGGGTTTATGATTTGTGCTCAAAGAGCCTAAGCAATTAGATTTACTCCTAAATACCACAGGACCCATGTGGCTCGTTGAGCAGATAGGATTTCTGTTGTGGGAAAGGGCTCTGCAGTGACTAATATCTGGTTTAGTAGTGGGGATAGTAACAGTTGAGACATATTTGCTTGGCAGGTAAGGGAAGGATTGATGATAAAATAGAGCAGGTGGCTCCAGAGGTGCCAGGAAGATAGAGAGGAGAGTAGGTACAAGTAGGGTGAATGCTGGGTGGTGACAGTAGGAGTGGAGTTTCAAGGGAGGCTGCTCAGAGTGAGGAGAACAAATATGAGGGGAAGAAGGAAAGGGGAGGGAGAAAGCGTGAGGGAAGAGGCAAAAGCCAAAGGCAATTTCCAAAGGCTTCTCTCTTCATCCCTGTCCTCCTCCTCCTCATCTTCTGGGTACACTCTGACTTAAGTCATGCCCTCTCAAAAACTGAAGGAAAAACTGAACGCTACAGCTCTCCTTTATGTTCACACTAAGTGATTTGATGCTTGATTAAGTGACGCAGCCAATTTCAGCATCCGGAGATCAGTGCAGCTTTTTCACCTCTTTTTCTCCTGCTAGCAGAAAACAGGACACAGCTGGTTTTTTTAAAGGGTACTTTGTTCTGAGCATTTGGAGTAAATATTTTTATATTGTGTGTCTTAAAATGTCTCGATATTGGTCCTCATTATTCACAAGCACAGGAATAGCATGTTAAAAAAGCATCTTCAGATCATGAAGAAAATGCATAACAGGGTATTAGATATATCTATATCTATGTATATATTTGCATATGAGTGAAGGAATGAGACACCAAGAGTCTCCAGATCTCAATAAAAAGGTTGAATAAAAGAAGAAGCAGGATTCTGACTGTGAGGGTGATATGATATTGTAACCTGAAAACTAAATAAGGAAAGAACAGAATATAAATAATATTTGGATGCAACAGCAGGAAATACAAGGAACAGGTGTTTAACAAGATTTCTTTTGATTGTTTAAGCTTTTTGCTAATGCAAAAATGCCCAAACTCTGACAGACTTCAGCTTTACCTCATGTCAGTGGTTGTCCTTTTGGCTATTTCATGACTCAGAGCATTTATTCTGCTGTTAGTTTGTCTCTAGGGATCTGGGTCTGTGCCATTATGTGTTTTTGATCTCCACTGCATGTGTTGTTTTCTCTTCAGGGCACAGTGGGATTGCATGGCTGCAAATAAGGCCCAGAACTTGTGACTGCTCTGTGAGTTCACAACAGCATCTGCAGGAGAGATTGCCTCACAAAACTGGGTAGGATTTGTTTCCTAACACTTAGAAACCAGGGAAGGCTTTTCTTTGTGATCACTATAAACTATAAAAGCATAAATAAATGTTTTGCAGTGTTTCAAGTATTGGTATAGTCTGGAGGGATATCCGTGAAGAGAGTAGGTCTCTGAACCCTGCTGAGTGACTGGGATTACATAATACTGAAGTTGCTTTACATCTCTTAAGAAGCTCCTTGTTTAAATGACCTTCTAGCAATGAACTCTTTCTCTCTTTTATATTGATTTCACACTGTTTCTTGCATTTAGAAAACGAAAATAAGCTCAGGTGATACCTGCTTTAACAGTCACCTTTTAATTGTGTGTTTAATTCCATCATGATTTGAAAAAGTTTTTTCCTGAATTTCTTTTGTTCTGTGTTTGAAGTGAAGAAATTGTTAGAAGAGTATCTGTAAAAGCATGCTTTCTTTAAGACGGGGTTTCAACAACTTTAGACGATAGACAGAGTCAGTATTGGATGTCAGATTCTGCCTGCATGAACTCCCACCCCCACTCTCCTCCTACACGTTTAGACCTCTACATGGCAGGGACATGCATCTCTAACTCTTTAGTCTCGTTTTCAGAAATTGATTCCATTAGCTGCTGCTTCTTTTTGTTATTTTTCCCTTTCATCTTCCTCACTACTTTCCACCCAGCATGCAGTCCAATATGCTGGCTGATGTTCTCCTTCCAAATTAGAGGGTTTGGCACTAGAATCATCTACAAATAAACTGATCTATCTTTTCACCCCATTCCTCCAGTATATGTATATATGAGAACTGTCTGTCTCCTGAACCTTGCTCTCCTGTCCCTCACCTCTCTCTCCACAGAAGGGCTGGACCCCCTGTCAGGACACTGAGGGCATCAGCACTCTCTGTCACCTCTGCCTTTGAGAGGCTTGGCTGCCCTGGCTCAGGGCTGTGACATTTGTTGTCAGCTCTTTGTTGCTTACTGGATGCTATCTCCAAGGTTGATGGTGGCTCAAATGCCCCTACCAAAGATCCTGTTTAATCTCCATCCCTGTTGTTGTCATCAGTTATGATCTGTAGGTTTTCTAGTTTATTTTTCCAGTTTCCCTCATTTCTTTTGTTTTCCCCTGATAACAAGTGCACCAAGGACACGCTTCCAGCATGCAGGGACCATCCTGATCTCCAGGATGGGACTGCTAGAAGGGGAAAGAACATTTCTGACCTGAAGAACCCATCAATAGATGTACCTAGCTCACAGCTTCCCACATATTCCCTAGCTTGAACATATTTTTCAATCTTGAATTTAAAAGTAATTAGCAACACTTGGAAACGGGAGACCCATTGTGCAACATGGTTCAAATTCTTTCAGTGTCATGTCTGAAATCTGTGTTTCAGGCTCCATTTCTAAATTCCTGGGAAGCAGGAAAAAAGCCAGGTTGAGTGCAGGATGCAAGGGATGGCCAGTGTGGATGCTGATAGAAGGGTGGGCTTGAGTGCTTAGACAGGATTCAACCCATTAAGCAGACAGATGCTTTAATGTTTCTCACCCTAGAGAGTTGCCTTCTATACAATACTTCATCTTTTATGATCTTAATTAATATTAATTAGTAGATGATTTTCTCTAAAAGTACTACCCTATGGAGAAAACTAATCTCTGATATTTCAGTGAATGATATTTGGAAGAAATCATAAAGTACTACAGCTCTATGAAAATGATTAAATAGATTGTCTTTGTTTTGATTTGTATCTGTTTATATATTGTTTTCCTTGATAATGTATATTGTAACTCCCACACCTGGGGAGTTCCATCATGTTTTTTAAACCATAATGTGTAGCTAGAGGAGATCACACTTTTGAAAACTGTAATGAACACCCATTATTAAATAAGGGATATAGTTGTTTTCTTTTTTCTCCTTCCCTGTTTGCTTTCAGTCAGCATACTAATTTTACTTTTATGTAGAATTTGCTCCTCCATTTATATGGTAGGGTGATTTAATTTTTGAACTATTCCTATTTTGAGAAGGAATCCTCCTGCATTTATCCCCAAGATCCTCTTTCAGCAAAGACTGTGATTACAGAAAAGTAAAAGCAGAGATCTTAGATGTTAGTAAACAAAATCAGAGGATGAATTAATATTTAAAGCTGGCTGTGACACTGAACTTACAATTCGCTTATTATTTTTGGCAGCAGCATGTCCAAACTGCCAAGACCATTCTTGGAAATCACAGCTGTGATGTCTATAATAGCTGAACTACAGGAAAGATGCAGTTAGGTCATACTGTCTTGTCACTGCACATGAATAGTGCAAGTGATAATAGTTACCATTACTGCCTACTCATTTTGCAGCATGTTTTGTTCAGTTAAAACAATTCCAATTATGGAATTGATAAAATTGTCTGCTGAGTGCATTCCCTGCTGCTCTACATGGTTGACTCAGGTGAGGAGTGTGGTGGGGGCAGATGAGCCCCAGCTGAATCCAACTGGGCCCTGTGTGCAAGGGCAGAGAAAGGTCATGGAGTGGGCTGGGAGGGGAGGTCACGGGACTGGCTGGGGCCAGGTGGGTTTTGGAGGCCACCTGGGGAAGGAGAAATTTCCAAGTGAAGCTGGGAACAGGTCAAGTCCAGTCAGAGCCATCAAGGGAGGGGAAGAAGCTTGCTGAGCTCTCTGTGCAGTGAGTAACTTTAATGCATTTTCATAAGTAGGAAAAGGTCTCAGGAGTTTATTGTCAGGTAGAGCTGCTGGTCAAGGGGGAGGTGTTAAAAATGCTGAGGTGGAAGGGTATTAGGAAATTGATGCCTATTACTGTGTTTTAGCAAGCTAATTCTCAGACTAAGTTATATAGGGCGTGCTGCCAATTATTTTCAGAGCTTCAACAGTGCTCCTGGCCTGAGGTAAATACTATCAACTTCAGAAGAGCTCAGCTGCTGTTTCAGAGCACTTATATAAACATACTTTCCACATCTACGATTATTTGTTTTACAAGACTAAATTTCTTTTAGATGCTAGGAAACCTGTGGCAGCCTCCTGCATGCACAGGCTGTTTGACCACAGGTCTGTAAAACATCTACTTTGAATGTTTGCATGCAGTCCAGGAGCAAATTGCTTGATTATGCTGTTACCAAGACACAGGCCATATGTGATAAAATGGCAGAAGCCATGGACAAACAAAATATTGTAAAAGACTAAGTACTTGCAATAGTAGGTGATATGATGCAAGAATTGTCCAGAGCTCCAAAAGTTTCTCTCTTGCTAAAGGTAGTGAACTGCTTTATTTTATTTTATTTATTTTTGCTTTTCTCAGCTGGTACTGAAATGGTTTGGCTTAGCCTGAGGGAAGTGCAGGGGAATTGATGCCCCTAGACCTGGGAATTGAATTTTGGCAGGGAAGCTGGCCCGTGCTACTCACAGCCTGTTTTGAGCTGCAGCAGTCAATGGGACAAAACTTGGGGCAGTAAAGCTGAATGCTGAAAGACACTTGAGACTTATCAAACAGGATTTGGGGCAGGAGGAAAAAAAGCTTGGAAAACAAATGATGTGTGAAAGGTGGAAAGAACTTTCTTGCTCTTGGCAAGTAAACAAAAGGAATTCTGATACAGAGGCTTAATACAGTATAGGTGTACTTTTTTTTTTTTTTAATAGTAATTGTTTTGGCTGTACTGCTGTGATAACAACTCAAGAGTCTGTAGTACAGACTTGTTTTTTCAGTCTGCAGAATTTCTCAGGTTTATAAATCCCTGTGTAATGTGATTGAATCATGTTTTAAAAGAGTGAGAGTTCCTCATCCCAACTGCTTTGTCTGGAAGATTGATCCAGAGTTTCACGCTGATAAGCATGAAAGCAATTTTTTTATCTTGCACAGCTTCCAGTTCTATCTGTTGCATTACAAGTTTGTATTTACTTGAAGTTTTGCTGATGCCTTTGAAATAGATCTTCCTTTAATCATTTTTCTATTCTTCCTGTACCCATTACATTATTTTTTCAAGAATGTGAATTACCAGAAAAGTATCCAAGTAGTATTTCAGTGAAATCTTTAAAAACAGTCTTTTTCTCTTCCAAAATTATTTTGACTAAAGCATTTTCTGATATCATTAACTTCTTCCATACCTTCATCACACCAACAACTCAAAGCCAAATGCTGATTGACCAGTGCAACCAGACTTTCCTCTTTTTAGCTATTTCTTTGACATAATCTCTATGGAAATAGTATGAATTCTTGATATTGATCCCTAATCAAGCAGTGATTAGGGATGAGATTCCATCTCCTAAACTGTAAAATATCTTCCCCCTTTTTTATTTTTTTTGCGAGAATGTGTTATTGCCTCTTGGCATAGAAACCCAAGAGCTCCAGTCATGTTAGGCAGCATTTTGCAAGGTCATATTTAAGGATAAAAGCATAAATCTCATTCACTGATCAACTAAAACTTCCAAACTTTCCTGAGACTCATATAAAACCTAAAATGTGGCCCACGCAAGTTGGTGATTGTGATTACAACAGCAAGACAAACCCTGACAAGGGTTTGGTTGCCAAATCCACTCTTTTGGATTAAAGTCATTAAAAAAAAGGCAGAACTAATATAATTAAGTTGGACACAATACTCAGACTTATGAAGCTTTTAGACATTTAATATGCACAAGAGCCAAAACAAACAAGAATTTGAATATAATAGAAATACTGTAAAGTGAAGAGATTCTGAGTGTATAAACAATTTCATCCCTGATTTTTCTTTAGAGTAGGTGTTTTCAAAAACAAAGTCAGTGTTAAAAATACCACTCTGAGCTGCCATACTAGAGGATGATCTGGAAGTTCTTCATATAGCTTTGTAGTGTAATGTTGCAGACCTTGCTCTGATCTCCTGTCTATAACCAGACTATTTATCAGGTAATGTTTAGCTATGGGGAAGAAGCAGGTAAACATACAAATAGCACCATCAAACAAAGCACATTTAATTGCAAAAATTTGAAGTTATTCGCAACGTGTAAAAGCCAAAAAGCCACTGTTCTATTCCCTAATAGTGACAGA